AACCACCATGTTGTTTATTCTGTGACTTGTCTTCTGGTGGAGCTGCTTCTCTCCTATCAGCTCATATTGAATTATTTTGTATAGGCTAAACAAGTAGCCCTGCACGTTTTGGAGACCTGGGAGAAACAATCCTGATTGATTACTACCAGTCTGTTTCTATTCCAAAAAGCAGCTGGAAGCAGGACTTGAGTGGGCTTATGGGTCCACAGGCATGAACCTTTCAGAGATGTCTGTGCTGAACCATACTTCTTTTCTTTCTTGTTTTTCACACACCTGGAGTGAGGAATCTATACATATTATATTTAGTATATTTAGCACCTGTCAGAGTAAGTATGTGCAGTTTCCAAAGCTTCTTTAGAAAGCTATTTCAAATCATTAAGTAGCAAATAGGATGATCTACACAGCGCTGTTTTAGCTTTTACTGTGCTACACTTTTCTCCCTCTATCCAGGTCAGTATGCACTTTTCCCTTGCTAGATATTTTAAAATGTGCTATAAATAACCATCTTTGATTGATTCACTGTACTACTGAGGTCTTCTAAAAAGTACTGAATTTTGAAATTCCTTTCCTTCTTTTCTAGTCAAGTAACCACTAATACCCTATAACACACTTCAGCATTTTTTTTCTGACTTTGACAGCTCAACAGGACACAGTTGTACTTATCGTTCTCCTATTTTCCAGTTGGTATGTTTAAACCAGATGCTGAGAATTCTCAAAGAATCCTGCTCATTGGCCTTAAATCCCAGGTCTTTTGCTAGCTTTTTCTATACTATGCTTGCCCGGCTTCAGAGCTCAACCTTGCAGCTCAGTCCTCAACATCCGCTTGTACAAACAGCTGTCTTAACATCATTGCCTCAGATGCTTTTGAAACAAGTTGTGATCTTATCTAGTAATGCAAATGGCCTCTCGCAGCAATAGCTTAATCCTTTCTTTCTCTCAGAAATCCTCTCCCTATTGTATTTCAGAACATCATTTAATACATCCACCCTGACTTCTGGAATATATTCTATACACCAGGAATACTGCTGAAGAACGTCCTTAAATTCTGTCTCCTCAGAGAACAGATCAATGTGAATGTTTCATGCTAGAGGCAAGGTTTGTAGGAAAGTAGTATCTTTTATTAGACTAACAGATATATCTAGAAAAAAGTGTTTTATGTTGGCATTTCTTATTGCTTGAAAAAAGTATTAAATTTTTCATGCCAGGCCTTTTTTCCCCTCCCAACTATGCCTTTAAACAAGTGTTCTAAAGCTATTTCCTTTATCAAAGGAAACACACTTCTAAGTAGACAAGAAGAAATTTCAAAAAGGACTTTTCTTGTGTCCCTTAGTCCCCTAAAGATATGCAGAGACAGAGAAACTACCATCAGGCCACCTTGTCTCTAGCAAAGCATTAGAAATGATAAATAGCTGGACTCTCCTGTTGGACAGTTACGGAACTTTGCTACTGAGCTTCAGGAAATATGTAGACAGTGACATCTTTCCACTAGCTTTCCCCAGTACTTCAACTGGAAAAGCAAAAGCTACAATTCCATCTGGCTTTACAGCAACATGCTGGGAGTCAATTGATTATGAAATTTACCTAGATTTTTTTTCTGAGAATGACTTTTTTCTGCACTTTAAATGTCAACATTTATTTAGAATGGACATCTTTCTCTCATTTTCTTTCTTCGGTAAGAATCCAATTCAGACAGTAAAAAGAGAGGAGGTTTTCCCAGACATAGGACCTACTTTTTCATCAGGCTCAACATATCTCAAGGCATACATAAAGGGCAAAGTGTAGGTGTTTCCCTCTAGCAAACAAAAATGCTATTCCTCCCCTCTTTTTGAAAGCTTTGAACATCTGGAAAATATCATCAAGACTAGAGATTCTCAAAAAGAAAAATACTTTCCCAGCTTCTGAGATGATGACATCTCAGTGAGCATCAACGACAATCTGTTCACCTATTAGTGTTCATAGGGACTTACTGTTTCCTATAAACCACAGAGATTTATAGCTTCAATCCTTTTGAAAGGGTTTTTCCTTTCAACAGAAACTCCAATACTTTTACAAACTACTAGTGAATTCCTTCAGTGTACCGTACTATCTTTTGTCCTTTGCTACATCAGTTTAAAATGAAAGTTGTCTTAAGTCTTATGTCTTTTGGGTATACCTTAGTAAGTATCATATTTTTTTTTCCTATTATATCAATTACTTTTACTTCTTACATAGAACTTTGCTTAAACAAGGCAGAAATAAAATAGGTGAGGTGATGGGTGAACACATTTTTTGAAGAAAAGTGTGTTTCTATTCCAATATCTTCTGGTGCACTTGACAATCCCAACCTTACTTTGGTGGGACCCACTTATCCCACAATGAAGCATTATAAAAGATGGGTCCCTGTGCTTCAGAATCCTACAGCCAGGCTCATTGCTGATCCACAAATCAAGCAGCCCATACTGATATTTGTCATGGTAATTCCTCTCCCTAGCCTGGCCACAGCAGTTTGCTCAACACTTAAAGAAGCATTTTATTTCTATTTAAAAAGTGAGCAACCAACTTTGTCCACCAATTAAAGATGTCTTTAGAGTAAAAGGAGGAAACCACCACACAGATCAACTCTTCGTGGAAAGCCCAACCTGACCACGCCTGGCTTTGAAAACCCCATGCAAATGGCTGAGGCTTCTCCCTCAAGATGGGAGTTCGCTAGTGGATCTAAAGACAGTGAAGAAGGTACTTTAGAAAATAAGACAGTGACTAAGCTCAGGCTAAAGAGGTAACACAATTCTAGCTGCCTTTTTTTGCTTTCATTCTCTTTTTTTAAAAGCACTGCCATCATCATTTTACATGCTAGTGTCTGTCAAACTGGATCATCTAGAAGGCTGAACTTTTCACACCCGATTTGTCATGCACTTGCCAGTTGTTTCATGCTGACAGAAAAAATATTTCCACAATCAAACTGCTATCATTGTTTCCTCTCTTCCCCTATGATTTACTGAAATGATGGTAATGCCTGCAGCTGCCAATAGGCCTACTGCAGACTGCAAATCCATTTAAGAAAGGCAGTAAGCCAACTCATAAATACAGTACCAGAAAATCCCTGGAAAGTGTGGCTTTCCTTGTTCTAATGCTGCTTTAGCCCTAACTGTATGGAACATATCTCCACAATCTCACTGTTGTCTCAGCAAAGTCTTATTTAAGAAACTGAAGTTTGGGTGGAGCCATAGGATCGCCCCATTCCCCCAGCCATTACCCTACACTCACAACCTCCTTCCTGTTGCTGCCCCTACATTCCTTTTGGTGGCAACCTCACAAGCAGAGTGTAAGCCAACTAAAGTGGTGGGGAAAGCTCGCACCCCAGCAGCTATCCTACAGTCTCTTCTCCACTAGCCAAATCATCCAGAAGGCAGCATTTATTATATTTTTTCTTATCTCTCTGTGGGCTTAGGTGCTGGAGATACATGGATGGGCAGTGCATTTCCCAGTCCTGGCAGGCTGGTGGGGAGATACCCCAGGGGGAACTGGGTCTTGGAGTCTCACAGTGGTGCTGAAGGAGGGGGAGGAAAGAGAGGCTAGCCAAAGTGAGGTGCAGCTCCTGTCAACTAGGGACAAGAAAGAGAAAGGACCTACAACATTTTGTAAGCAGGCATGCTCAGCCTGCTCAGCCCTCTCTCAGGCAGCGACCACAAACGAGGACCAGGCATGGTTACCTGAGTGAGGGACTCTCCTACCTAGAGCTGCTTTTCCTACAGCCCTGGTTCTGGACAGTGCTAAGACACAGGTGCAATGCTGTGAGCACGGCTGTTTCCTAAAAGCAGTGTTACTGTTAAGGAGGAACAAAAGCACTGGTGCAAAAAGCTGCACTCCAAAGACATGCTCACCAGCAGTTAGGAACAGTGACATAAATGTTCAACAATGTTAACCCATCAATTTTCTGAGCTGAGATGGAAGTCCCTGCCTCTAAACTGTCTTGGAAATTCTCAACTTCAGTGAGCACATAGAGAAAGAGGTTGGAAAAGCTGAGTAAATATCTAAAAATAATCTTTAAGGCTTATAAATTTTTAGTGGTTCTCAGCTCTGGTGTAGCTCTAAAACAAAGCTGAAATACCAAGGAAAAACATAAAATCTGTATGATCTGTGGATTTTTTCCTTAATGTAATTTGTGGTATTTTAATATTGTCAATATTACATGAAATGGCATGAATAGGCTTGATTGGTATATGACCTAATTTAATTAGTTAACTAAGACAAAAATGTAGTTTTGGAGGAAGGACCTGAGACAGACTCATAGGCTAATCTATGTTGTTCTGATGGCTCTCATGTTGCCTCCTGGATCTCTCTTGTGGCTCAGTAAAGAGATTTGCAGTTTAAAATGGAGATTATAGGAATTACTTGGACACATTTCCAAAGCAGTTGGAGGTGTGTGATTAAGAACAGGAGAACAATGGCTAAGTCAGGATAGCTCAAGCGCCCGGAGCTGTGAGATGGATGCCATTTTTGAGGCACCTCATTGAGCCAGTTTCTAAAGGTGTTAAACTTCTCTGAGAATGGCATGGTAGCAGCTAAGAGCCTGGGCATGCTCAGGGCATGTCTGAAAAACTTTTTATGCTGCCAGAAATTATTGTTTCCTCTTGCCTTCAATTCTGCCTACAAGACCACAGTAGGAAAAACAGTTGAGCCAGAAATAGAACTGCCCTATGGGCAAAATTCAGCCTCCATGGCAACGGTTAGACCACTCTTGGATCAATTTGTCATTCAAATAAATCTTCCATTTATTTCACCAGAGTTTTGCTTTAATTGCAACCAGCTTACATGTATTTAAGCTTTACTGCCTTTCTGCAAGGCAGGGAAAAAATACATTAATTAATTTTAGTACAGACACTAAAAAACTAAGCTTCCCTAAGCTAAGAAAAGCCCTGAATCGTAACAGAAGAAAGGCCTCAGTGCCAACAGATTAAAAAACAGTTACAACCACCCCTCCTCAAATATAACTATCTGCACAGACACTACATACTGCAATCATGTTTTTATTTTAATTAAAATTGTTATCACATAAAAAACCTGATTTCAACCCCGTCCATCTTCCTTGTGCAGAAACAGAAAAGAATCAAGCCTATATTGTTTTTCTGTGTCTGAAAAAAACGTGCTGGAAATTACAAAGGCCTATGTGGCATTACAATCTTTAAGAAAAAGATTGCTCAATTACTTAATATCAAAATGAAAACTTACCCCACACTGCCATGAAAACAGCAAAAAAGACAGTAGCTCCATTGTCAAAAAGGTGGGTTACCTGAGGGATATATTAGTAGCGTGATCAATTTATGATAATAAGGCTTTATTTTCTGTTTTTACCTAATGGAATTAACGTGATCATGAATTCAGCTGGCCTGACAGTCCTGAGGATCCTTCCTTTGAGGTGTGAAATGCTCCTGTCAATTGACAGGACTATTTGCCAGCCTGGCCTGTGATTGACCCCTGCTAACACCAGGTGTGAGCATCATTTCGGACCCAACGCATTCATTTTATGGAGCCACGTACAGAGGATGGATCGTAAGATAAAGGTTGATGCCAAGGACACTGTAGCACATGCATCTAGGACACAACCTCTGGGACTACTGAATCTCTAAGTGCAAATTGCATTCAAGTGTTTTACAACCCGACCTAAGTTCTGGTAAAAGACAATGAATGTTAATATTGGCTTAACTTGATCTGTCCTTTCAAGATTTTATCTACCTGAGCTCACTAAAGACAATTGCAAAAGGCAAAATTAATGCTTTTACCAGGAAAATATTTCTGTTTGCATAGTTTAAAAGGTACCTTGGCATAAACACAGCTGTCTGATAACCTCATGAAGGGACAGTATTTATCACATATAGGACACATGATGATATCTGTCGCTTGGCAGACTTCTTTACTGGAAAAATAGAAAAGATAAAAATTAATAGCTTGATGCACAACGATCAGTCTTAAAATGGATTGATAAGTTTCACTAATATTCAGTTACTTATTGAACAATACTGGTTCTGTAACTGAAGCCAAGATGTTCATAACTGCATGTGTATAATTAATATTTGTTGACTGTCTAAGACTTCAGAGTTTACATTCATAACTGCAGAGGACAGTTCTTCAGGACCAGCCTAGCAGTATCTCTCTACCATTTCCAGCTTCTCCTTGAGTCAGAAGTGACCTTTGGTAGGAGGAGGGTGAGGATGATTGCAGATAAAGTTAAGTTTGACTTATTCTTGTGGCTTGTCTTAAGTGTGAAGGAACGTAGAGATGCAGCGCTCAGCAGAAGGTCTAGGGGATTCTTCATCTGAAGAATGCCTCCCTGTGGTGGATATTTGGGAAAGGCCTTGAAGAGAGTGAAAATTCCCCACTCTTCTGCTGGCCTGTTACAACAGTAATGAAGGAGTTCGACTTTTTCCCTACTTCATGTGGAGTTGCCAGCACTATCAGCAACTGGAGTCGGGCAAGAAACATTGCCTCTCATCCCAATTCAGGAGCACAAAACAAGGGAAGCTCAATACCTTATGAGAACCAAGCACAGCCTTTTCCTGAGTATTCATTCAACAGTTCAAAATGAAATAATTAACAATTCATATGAAGATCTCTTAAATTATTCACAATAACCCACAGCTGTAATTTCCCTTATAAAAGTGCCCACATTACCTGACTTGGCAGTGGTTCAAAGTGGTGACTCCATACAAAAAGACAAACAATCCAATGAAGGCAGCTGGGAAGAGCATCCCTGTGTACCAGCCTAACCAGGCAAAGTACAGCCCAATTTTCTCACCAAAGTACCGCCTGTTTTAAAACACAACGCAATTAGAATAAATCCACTTAATCTTGCTTGTTAATAGAAAATAAATACTTCTATCATATCTGAAGAGCAGATTAGAGAGCAGATTCAGAATTGCCTGAAGAAAAAGCCTGCAGCTAGGTTTCTAAATTCACACTGAGGGACTTGCCTCATGAATGAACTTAAAAAATTAATTTAAAAAGTCACTAACCACAGTTTACAGTAAGCTGAGTGGAGACCTCAGAAAGGAAACATTGAGTTCATTTTAAAAAGCTAGTTCTTTGTGTTTGGGAAATTGACGGCTTTCTTTGCCTTTTGTCTGTGTAACTGTACTTCCGAAACAATTGCACTGAAAACAGCTTCATCCCTAAAAGTGGTATTGCAGCAAAAACTATTTGAGCCCAAATTATTTATAAGGATTTAATTAACAAGAAATTATTCTCCAATCCAGTTTATTTTCATTTGGTTATTTCTTTTCCTAGCTCAGTTCCTGGAAAACTAATTTCATGATTCTACGACAGGTGGAAAGTAAAGTGCAAGTGAGGTCCAACAAACATCTCTGTGTATCATCTTGCACTGATTTGAGGAAAGTAGTCTGAATTGATCCTAATTATATTGCTTAAAAACTAACAGCAAAGTGTCCAGGAAGTTTCTATTTGCTACATATTCATTAGCACTTTTCCTCCTCCCAAACACAACCAAACCTTTATTTATGTGTTAAAGAATACATCAAGCACACAAAAAACC